ATAGACTGGACTGGCAGGCCTCATGCAGCCTGTGGGCCACATTTTGCCCACCCCTGGGCAAGACCCTCTAGCCAGGAACCTCTGGTTTTAAGTTTCAGCAGGAACATTGGCACACCCCAGTAACAATCCCCAGCCTTGGCTGGAGCCAGCACCCAGTGCATCTGAGGAAGGCTTTAAAAAACCCTAAAATGTAGCAGTAGGGTGGGCCGCATTTTGCCCACCCCTGCTGTAGTGGCACCCTCTTGCTGAGGATAAAAGAGTAGACTCGTCGTTGCAGCATAGTTTTGTACTGAAAGCCAGTATAAGGAGCAGCAGATAGCTATAAAAACTGGTCTTTTCAAAGGAATCCAAATTCCCCAGGAGTTGAAAAGTAACTGTGAAAGTTCTAACTTTTTTTATTTAAAGAAATTGGATGAAATGGATGCAATATGAATAGTGAATTGCAGATAAAATTCGATTCCTTGCCTTTTAGTAGAAGGACAAAAGATAAGGAACATTGCCATGCTAAACAAGGGCCAGAATTTTCAAAAGCACTTACTCCTACCGGCACTCAACTGAGAAGAGCTTGGGTTGTTCTTGGAATGATATTGAAGACCCACGGCTCTTACTGATGTCACCTGGGTGGCAGTTGCTGAGCATTTCTGAAACTGCTGAGCAGTCAAAATTCGTGGTTGCTTCAGAAAATGTTGACCAGAGTGATGATGCCCTACCCTTTGCCTGTGCTGTTTAGTAAGTTACTTAAATAGGTGCCTAAATGGCAGTAAGTGACAATAGTGTGAGTCGGAAGGGGAAAAGGAAGTGGGGAAGGACAGTGGAGAAAGTAGTCATCTGTCATTGTGGCAGTCAGGCCTCAGCTGGCAGCTCCTTCGTGGAGCTCTCTCCACAGGCATATACCTGGCATGCTTCATGGACACCTCTGATACTGGCCCTTTCTGCCAGCAGAGGGAGACCCTGGTGCATGCCTACCTTGAATGTCCCAGGCTGTGGCAGTCAGGCCTTCAGGATTGTATATGCTTTGAAATTGACATGATTTATTATGTAATAAGAATGTTATAAGAACTGCATTCAGTTAATAACACATGCATTAAATTGAGACTTGATCCAAAGACCTGCAAATTTAAGGGAAGTTCTGGATCTGGAACTACATTTTGTGACTCAGGGTTTAATGTTAATTAAGGTAAATACAAATGAGAACCTGCCAGACCTTCTGCTTGAGCTTAGCTGGTGGCCAGTTTTGGCTTCACTCTCATTTCTGGAGGCTGCAGTATCCACATCTCAGTTGATGTAATTTTAGTTTCTGATGGTGAATCTTGTTCCAGTGGGTGCACCTACAAGAGACATTTACTGCACAGTTGACTAATTAACTGCAAAGTAAATGTCTCAGCATCTACACATACACCCATTTTAGGGCTCACAAAACTAATAAACTCTGCAGCAGAGTAGTACTTGTATTTTTCAGGCAGCCATGACAGTGTCTACGTGTGCACTGCTGTGCATTAAAAAACTCTGTAGCAGGGTAGTACTGGTAAAATACTTGTATTTTACCAGTATTACCCTGCTGCGGAGTTTTTTTTATGTGCAGCAGCACATATGTAGATACTGCCCTGTCTGGCTGGAGCCACCAGGTGCTTCAGCACAAGGCCTGCAGCCTGTGCACTGAGAAACCTGGGCCCCAGTCAGCCCTCCACCCCACCGCACGTGGTGGGGGAGCAATCAGTCAGCACACCCCTCCCGCCCCTGTCTCCATGTGTTGCCGAGCGGCTGCCTGGCACAGAGGCTGCCTGCAGGCTGGCTCCACTATGAAGCACCCTGTGCCCCAGCCAGCTGGGGCAGTGTCTACACATGTGCTGCTGTACACGAAAAAGCTTATTTGTGCATATTAATTGTGTGTGTAGACATGCCTAGTGAAAGGCACTGGCTTCAGAGCCTTGCATGCTTAAGTCATCTAGTTATTCACAGTACAACACAGGTAGCAGCAACCCAGAAACCCCCCACCAGATCTCTCCAGTATAGTTGGCATCTGATCCTAAACATGTTTAAACTGATAGCCTAAAGTTGAAAGAGTTTGCACATGCTGAATCATCCAGTCCTGTTCAGAGGAGCTGGGCTGCTTCTATGCCTGTACTGCTTTAGCGGTCTTAACTCTGGTTGCTCTGGTGTTCAGTTGATGCCCTTATGCTAACTAAACTGCTGATAAGATTTTCATTTGCTGAATAGAGACCCCAGCTGACTGGTAACTATTCCCACACAGTTGAGAATATTCTGAGTTGAATTTTTTTGGTTTCATTTAGTCTCTTATCCCCTGGATCTGAAATATAATTATTTAGATCCCTGTGTTCTAGAGAACATAGTAGATACATTTAAAAAAAATTAGATGCTAAATATGTACTAACTAATAGGGTGAAGGTACCATCAACTTGTCATAATAATTGAGCCCTTATCACATCGCTTATCATTCACTTCTGTGTCCAAAGAGCAAAGTACTGGTATTCTATATAGCAAAGTATAATCCTGTCTCTCATACTGTACGTTGACTGGTTTACAAACTCTAAAAAGGGTACTGTGAAAAACATCTGTCCAAAAAATTGAGGAATGGCAAAAATATCCACCATGGTAGAAGAGTGTGTGCCTGGTGTTCACACTTTTTGTTGTTGTGAAATTCTCATTGAGCTGGTAAAAAGTCATGTTTTATGAAAAGACAGATTATTTTCTGGTTTTCTGCTCTTTGGGTTAATCTCCCTCTAAATCTGTAGCTGAATGGCTACCCTTTACCAAGCAAGGCAGAACTGTGAGACTTTTTTTACCAGGCACAAGTGTTTTGTATGGATGACCCAGAAGAAACAGTTACTGCTATTCATTTCACACTCACCTTCACCCACCCACATCCCTCCTTCCCCAACTGCATCCAAAAGATAATGACTTTTTCATAAGATTTCATAATGTTGTGAAACCTTTATCTGGTTGTGACTGTTCCTGCTACAAAACAAGAGCGTAGGATTCCTTCATGTTTTGCTGTCTCCCCAGTAAATTTTCTATGGCACTGATCGCTTTGTTCCCAGATTATTAGTTTTATGGCACACACTTGTTAATTTTTCATTTTAACTGCCACAGAAAATGTAAACTTATTTAAAGCAGCTACTAGGGTACCAGAAATTCCAGTGTCTCCTTCATTTCCCCCGCCTCCCCAACCCTGTATCCCCACAGTTTCTACTGCCAAGTCCACCCTCTCTACCATTTGTCTAAAACGGGCAAGAAGGAGCAGGAAGAATAATGGGTGGATGGAGCTCTTCATGTTCCCCTGCTTTTCCACCAGAGATTGTACTCTGTGAACTCTATAGCTCGCCCCTCTGCCTTTTGATATCCTAATACTAAACAAGAAAGGTACCACAAGCTGTGGCAAGCCACTTTTGTGGTTATAAACTGCTTGTTCAGTGTCCTCTGTTCTCCACCCAATGCAGGCAGAGAGAGAGAGGTATTCAGCTGGTGAAGTGGGCGTTGGGGAGCAGGAAGCAGGAATTTATATCAGACCCATACTGCTGGTAGCATCTGGGTGACAGGTTTCTATCAGAATATGCCTAATTCCTCCTTTCCTTCTTCCCTTTCTCAGCTGTTTTGGTAAAGTTTGACTTCACAAACTTCTTGCAGCTAAATCCCCCATCCTTATCATTTATTATTATTTATAAACCTGTTTCTTTGCATCTGTGATACAGAAGGGGCTCTAGCAACCCCTGTGTTTCAGCTTTCAAATTCAATCTGTTCTGGATTAGACTATGCAAACAAGTCTTAATCTTCCAGGGAACTTTAATCCACCAGCTGGCTACAACCAGAATTTGATAATCAAGGTTTATTTAAAAAAAAAAAAAAAATCCCAAACCCTCTAAAAACCCTGCCTTAATGCGGATATATTTTCTGTGTCAATTTATGCAATTTTCTAGTTTGTTTTTCAAAACTTAGAGTTTTGTCTTCATTTCCTGTCATGTTTTTTGATTCCTGAGACAGCACCAAGTGCTCACTTCAAATATGAAATGGTTTTATTCAAGGAAATAAAGAATGCCCTAAAGCCTGATCTAAGTCATTAGATGTGGTTAAATACAGGGCTGGAAGCTGAGAAATCTGGGCTCTGTGAGACCTTGAACAAGTCATGTCAAGTCATATTGTAAAATGGGGATACTGCTTACTTGTCTCTCAAAAGTTGGTGTAGGTCTGATTCACTTTTGCTTGAAGGTCCACTGTGAGATATCAGTCATGTTTGTTTCCTTTAAGTAAAAAGTTATTGAGGAGAAAATTGTTCTCGCCAGTGAGGACTTGGAGTATGTGCAGGTTTGTGTGCGGCTATGCTGGGAGTTGCAGGGTAGAGGAGGAGGCCGGGCAGCATGCAGACTAGGGGTGGGCACAACGGCAAATCCAGCCGGTGGCTGGACTCCATTTCCCAGCAGCCCCTGCCCGCATCGCTTCAGCCCGCTTCCAGGGAAACCCCAGCAGTGGCGGGGCCAGGGTTTCCATGGAGACTGGCTCCAGCAGCACTGGCAAGGTGTACAGCTGGGTGGGAAGCTGCTCCAGGGCCAGGGTTGGGATTTTATGGCAGTAACAGCAGAGTTTGGAGCCGGGGCAGTGCCAAAATCTGCTGCCTGCACACCCTTGCCCAGGGCATATGGGCGGCAGATCGCAGCGGCTCCAGACTACGCTACCACAAGATCCCAGCCCTGGAGCAGCTCCCTGCCCAGCTGCGCGCCCTGCCAGCCCTGATGAGGTCCATCTGGTCTCCATGGAAACCCTGGCTCTGCTGTTGCTGGGGTCTCCATGGAAACCAGTTGCAGTGATGTAGGCAGGGACTGCTGGGAAATGGAGTCCACTGCAGGCTCAATCTGGCCTGTGGCCCGGATTTTGCCTGCCTCTGATATAGACTATTATCCCTGCCAGCTGCAAGAGTGGCTCAAATTGTGGTTAGTTATCTTTCCTATCTCCCTTGTTTGATGTGCTCTGTCTCTTGCATGTCTCAGGGTTAGGCTTTAACATTGTTGGAGGGACGGATCAGCCGTACTTGCCCAACGACAATGGCATCTATGTCAGCCGGATCAAAGAAAATGGGGCTGCTGCTGTGGATGGCCGATTACAAGAGGGGGACAAAATTTTAGCGGTAAGCCCTTCTCTTCCATCCTCTTTTATACCTTGTCTCTCTTCTTACCTAGCAGTTCTGTGTCAGAGGTCTCCTGTTCAAAGCAGTTCATTGAGAAAAGTGGTTCAGTACAATCCATTCTTTTTTGCCAGTCATGGCAGTTTATTAATTTGTGCACTTTTGTTTCTGCCAGCCAATGCTAAACAGGAATATTCTTCATGATTTTTCTCAGCATATCCTATAGTGGGTAGGTGGAACCTTTTCAGATTTGGGTTAGCTACGGACTTGTCTTCACTTGGATATGAAGTTGTGATCTCAAGGAGCTGTATTAACAAACTTATGAGACATGGCTTTACAGGCCATTATAGATAGGGAACAGCTCTGGGTAAGCTCAAGAGCAGTGAGTCTCAGCTCGGGTGTGCAAGATCTTTCGACGGGTGCCAGGAAGTCTGAGGAGATAAGTAGATAAGTGCAGGACTTGTCCCTGCCTGCCCAATTCCCCTTTCCCACTGCCTAGCGCCTCAGCAAGGAGGTGAGCACTGCAAGGAGCTAAAAATTAGTTTTTGAAACTGGGTGCCAGTCCATGCACAAAAGTTATGGAAGGGTGCCTCAAGTCCAAATAGGTTGAGAACCACTGCACAAATTCATTTATGCAATTAACATGCTGCCCTTTCCACCAAAGGTACTGGGAGGCTTACAATAGCAAATTTTAAACACTGACCTACTAAGCAATGTCTCAGCCTAGCTTTGTTTGCTAAATACTTCCCCAAGTAGGAAAGTCTCACAGTGCTTCCAAAACATGTCCAGGCTTGGGCTCTGGTGGGTCTCGAGGAGGGAGTTCCAGAGCTGGAGAGTAATTACTGAGAACGACTTCCCATGTTTGTTACCAACCAGACTTGCAATAGCGATAGTACTTGCAGGAGGTTGCTCTCGGCTGAACTTGGGGGTTGCAGTGGGGCACAAGAGACAAGGCTGTCCTTCAAGTATGTACGGCCCAGACCATATAAGGCCTTCTAGGTCAAATCCAGTATCTTAGATTGTGCCCAGAAAGCTATTGGAAACCAGTGCAGATGCTGGAGGATTGGAGTTATGTGCTCTTGGCACCCCACCCCCATCCGAAAGTAGGCTGTCATGTTTCACCAACTGCAGCTTTCGGACATTTTTCAAAGGCAGCCCTATGTAGCGCACACTGCAATAGTCTAGCCTTGAGAGTATGAAGTCATGGATGGTGGTGTCCACTGGCCAGATCTGAATCTGAAAGAAAGGGTCGCAGCCTTCTCACCAGACAGAATTGGTCAAAGGGGCTCCTAGCCACGGCTGCCACCTGAAGACCCAGGAGCACCCCAAGCTTGCAAACATGAGTGACAAGGGGAGGCTGAACCCCATCACTGATAGGTGTTCCAATCCCCACCCAAGGCAAGTGCTTTGCCCACCACCATCACCTCAGTTTTGTCCAGATTCATTTTCAGTTGGTTCTCCCTGCATCCAGTAGGGAGACTCGGGGGCCAGGCTCAGAAGGGAAGGAGAGGTGGAGCTGAGTGTCATCAGCATGCTGATGGCACTTCACTCCAAATCTCCACATAATCTCACCCAGCAGTTTCATATACACTTTGAACAGGAGGGGTGAGAAGATAAAAACCCTGGGCGACCCTATAGGAAGGGTCCTGAGGGGATGATAGACACTCACCTGTCACCACCCTCTGGACCCTCCCTGCTAGTACCACTTATGAAGACTTAAAAGGGTTTAAAATAACCAGGCCTAAATTCTCTTCACACGTTGATATTATACTATTGTAATTCTACATAAATTTAATAGAGTTACTTCTGATTTATACTGATGTAAATGAGAAAAAACAGTCTCTTTATCTCCAGGTTGCTTTCCCATTTATGCTGGTCAGTGGAGTAAAGAAGATTACAGCACTAACTGCTTTGCTCAGGAGAATCTGAGCTTCCTATTGAGCCATAAAAGATTGAAGTGTAGTACATCAAAAGTAATTTAGGCTCTTTCTCCTCAACAGAATTATGTAAAACGGTGGCTTGGATGTTGTCTTCTAGTATTGTCAGTCATACAAAACAATCTGTTTAAACAAGCAGTGATATGCACAAGTATCTGCTGATAATCTATCATACGCACATTTTTAAAATTCATGTGTTAATCTTTCCCATATAAAGCATTTGCAGGCTCTATAAATAAATTAAGAGTGACTTGTGTAAGATGGAGTCTGACTATTGATCCAAAGAGTGATATAAAGTTAAAATGAGGGAAGCTGTATTACTTTATCCTGGCAGGATAATAATTTTGTGTGCATGTATTTGAAGCATGTAAATGCCAAAAAGAGGAGGAAGGGGTTAGTGTGATCTAAGAACAACAGTACATAATAGGGCAAAAGAAATTTTACGTGGAATAGCAGAAAATATGTTCGATGTAACCTGGCTATGAAATGTTCTTCAGTGAGAAATAATGGATTTCTGTTATTGTAATAACTTACTAGACAGGGCTGGACAGCACCCAATTGTAGAGATCCATCTAGCTTTATTCCATGGGTTGCATTTGCCTTTGTCTAGCCCAAGGGTGCTCAGCCCCCAGGCTGCGGGCCAAATACAGCTTCTGGAGCTATTGCATCTGGCCTACAGAGCTCCCCATGAGGAGGGAAATTTGGTGGCAGGGGAACGGTGGCCATTAATACCGTCACCTCTCACCCCCTTGCCAAACTCCCAGACCCCATCTGCTCTGCCAGTTGCAGCTGGGCTGAGCCTCCTCCCCTGCATCTGGATTGGGGCTGGCTCACACCCCTTTTTCCCCGCAGGGCCAAGCCATGCTGCCTTTTTCCCCTTGGGGTCAAGCCACATCCTGTGGAGCTGGGCTGTGGCTAGGCTGCCCCACGCCCCCCTCCCCATAGCCAGATGGTGCCCATCGCGTTGGCCCCGGTGCCAGATTGGGACCACCAGCAGGATCCGGCCCATGGACAGACAGAACACTGCCAATCCAACCCACTGGTGAAAGGGTTGAGTATCCCTGGTCTAGCCTGTTAATTAAAAATTATCCAGTGTTCATGCCTTATACTTAATAAAAGAGCATCATTATCCTATGATGACCAATAAAAGGTTTGAGGCAAGGCAACTGAAAATGAAAGCTTTTATTTTTGATTACATGCTTGATCTGTAAATCTGTAAATGATCATCCATTAAGCATGAATGTATCCTACAGTCAAGTATTTGGCAATACCTGTCTCAGATATCCATGTGCACATTTTTAAATGGGGCAAATGCTAACATGTCTAATTGATTTATCAAATCCTTAGTGCATATCTTTTTTACATCCTTAAAACGTTTTGTTTAAATTGCATCTCTCCTAAAAAATATTTAAGAATTGGCCAGGACAGATTTACTATATCATATTCTGCTTTTGATTCTCTTTACAGAAATTTGCAATCCTCTTTTAATTTTTTTCCCTTAAGACTTTTGTTTAGATACCTAACTTATACTGTGGCGGCACTACAAAGTCCACCAGTTATTAGAATCACAGCAGTCAGAACACCTCTGATTTTAATAAAGGAAGCAAAGTAAAAAGTCCATGCAGACGCCTGTTGAAAAACTTGACAGTTTTGATGCTTCATTAGATTTTATTCATTTATTACAATACAATTTAAACAATAAATACTACAGGCCAGCAGACTTTGACATCTAACATTTACATCTGTTGCCTAAAATACTCATGTAAAATTTCCTGCCACTGTCATTTTCAGGAACTCTGAGACTTCCTTTTCTAACATATTTTTTGTTGTCCTCTGTTGTGCTGTCACCTTTGCTCCCAAGCCTCTGGAAAACTAACGTGTACAGGAAGGCTGTTGTCTTGCTTCAATTTTTTCACATTTTTCACAGACTAGATGTGCTTTTGGCTTGTGTCGCTCTTGGATCTTATCAATAATGTCTTGCTTGCTGATTTCTGCAGTGACCATCAGTTCCTTTGTCAAAGGCCACCATTTTTTTAAAGGTTTGAAGTGGCCTTCTTCCAGATGGAGAATTGTTTTTTACTTCCTCACCTACTTGAGTCATGCTGGCAATTCCTGCCTTGAAGTAATGACAGATGGTGTCAGCTTTAACAGTGTCCCAGTGACTTTGCTTTTGAAAAGGCTTCAGAAGCGCTAGTTCTTGGACGTGCCACAGCCAGTGCCTTGAGTTTAATTGAATATTGCAATTACTTTGTCACAAATATGTTAGTGTATGCTCTTGATGCTTTGTATGATGTCTTGATTGGGAATCTGTATGACTGAGGTAGTGTTGACAGGAAAAATAGTAAATATTCTGCAATACAACATTTGACAGGTGCCCAGAAGGATTATCCAGCAACAGAACAATCTTCCAAACCTTTTTCACACGTTCATGGTGCCATTCATTTAGGAATTTCTCGAGGCTTGAGCTTGTCATCTGTACATTTTTGCTTGCTCTTTAGTCAGTGGGTAGTGCTTACCCCATGAGAACATTGTGGAGTCTTGCTCTTCCTTCTGACTTACTAGGGTTTTGTGTTTTTTTTTAATGCCTAATATTGCAAATCAGAAGCACAGTAATGCCATCTTTCTGCTTCTTTCCACCATTAACAAGCATACATTTGAAAAGAAAAGTCTGATTTGTAGGGTGCTCATACTTCCCATTTTTGCTTAGGAATGTCCCATTTTAAACATCTCCTTGCTATTCCACCTTAAACATCACACATAGTAGGAGGCATGATTGTGGGATCATGCATTAGATCCAGTTGCTTTTTATTGCTGGTGAATTGGCAAGAAGCAGGCACCCACGTCTGAGGCTGCAGGGGCCATGTACAGCCAGGACCGAGAGACCCCATCAACCATGGGATTCTGGGTCCCAGCTGCATGTGAGGTGCAGCCAGGACCAAGAGCCCTGTGTGAGCCCAGAGATTTCATGCATCCCCAAATCCATGGTGGCCACAATCCCTAGAGCTCCAGGCTTGCACCCCTGTGGTTGGAGCCCTGTCAGCTGATGGGCTTGTAGCTGCAAGGGAGGCCCTGCCACACTTGCAAATTAAAGCTCAATAGTAACCATCTATAAAGTTAGTACACATTTTCAATGTCTAACTGTATAGCTGGTTGGAGCATTGAGCATGTGTTAGCTACTTCGCACATGTAGCTGGTCTCAAGGTAACTGCACAATTCACCAGTTAATTGCATGATACCTGTAATGTGCAGAGGGGACCTGTTTAGTCAAATTAACTCTTTTGTTCTTTTTTAGTGGGATTTGTGGGACTGATGTTTAAAAATGGAACTATCCTGGCAAAAAGGCATGACTTTCAATCCCCCTTCCCCTCCCATCTCCCTCTGTTCTCCAGTGCTCTGTACTTCCCCTCTACTCTCCAATACGCTCAGCTGATAATTGAGCTTAGAGACAATGGCGTCTCCTAGCTTGGAACTAGGGAAATATGATCACCTTAGTGATTAGACATTGCTTTGGAGGGGAAAAAAAAGCTAGTTTCATCTGTGCTGAAAATCTTGTCAGCACAATACTCTTGCAGCAATTTGGGCAAAACCTGTGGCACCTTCTTTCCACTGACATTGCATTGGCATTCTGCTTCTTCAGCATGCTGCCATGTCTTTCCTTTTACCTACTCAGCTGTCAGTGGGCTTAAAATTAGTATAACCTGTCATCGTTGTCGGGCTTCTTGCCTTCTTGACAAGGATTCAGCAGGTGATTAATGCTTTGTGGTGTTGTGCATGTGTAAACCAAAGAGATTTCAGTTTCTTTTCCCCACTCTTGTGTTCATAGTTAGCACTGAGGTTCCCATGGTCAGTGTTTAAACCTTTTTGCTTTAAAACTTTGCTGAGAATCAAATGAGACATGCCTAACTTCATTGCTGCCTCCTTTTGACAACACTTTCTCAGCTTCTGGTTACTCCCTCAGTAGAGTTAAGCACTCTCAAAAAAAAAAAAAAAAAAGATGTTAGCTGGTCAGCACTGTGATGCATCACACATGCTCAGTAGTCACAGGTTGTTGTGTAGCAACTTAGTTGTACAGTGAACATGCTCACACAGGCAGTTTGAACTGACTTGATTCTAGCAGAAGGCAGGGTAGATTTGCACTTTACAGACTAACTAAACTATATGTTATATATGTATATATTTGGTGTACATACACAAACACGCACTTGTATAACATAAGCTTTTGTGAGCCTAAGATCACTTTATCAGATGCTGCCATGAAAGCTTATGCTAATATATATAATCTCTGATTTATGTAGTCTACAAAGTGCAAATTTACCCTGCCTTCTGCCTTGCTTCAGACTAACATAGCTAACCACCTGTCTCTTAATTCCAATGACCAGTGGAGAAAAGGCTTGGATGTATAGATTATAGTTTAAGACTGATTCCTATAAGCAGCTGATTTGATAAAATGAGACACTCACAAGCAGTAGAGCATGTGTGTAGTACAATGCTTCTCGTGTTGGTTTTGGAGTTTTGATTCTAATATTTGGCCCTTTATTAAGCAACAGTCTAATAACCAGGAGACCTTGTAATATTAGCTGTGTCAGCTATATCTTTTTACCTTTTGGGTCCCTTAGGAAAATGAATGACTCCACAAGAACCAATGTTGACAGAGCTAGTCCATTCTAACCTGGTTTTGCTCCCATGCAACTTTCTCATCAGCTTTCTCATGCTTCATCTGAAGCCAAACATGAATATATTTGCAAAGTTGGAGGAAAAGTTTTCTGCTTTGCCAATAAGAAAAATGTCTTTTTAAATTGTTAATGTAAAAAACAGTTCAGGATCACTTGGATTAGCGTCTAAATGTTGTGCTTGTCCTGGGGGTTTGACCTGAATCAGAACAGACACAGCACAGTCATTTGGACATGTAGCCCTTCTAAGGTGCATTGCTGCTTCTCTGCCACTAGGTGGCCAGCAAGAGCACACAGCCCAGCCAGCTTGTCCCAAGAATAACAGGAACCCGCAGGTGCACCCAGCCGTGTCCTGGGACAAGTATTAGCATGTTTTATTCCACATACTTCAGAGGGACTTGAAGCAGGACAGTGGACATGAGTGTCTGTTGGATTCTGATATACTTGCCCTGCATTGTGCTTAATGTTTATTAGATCCTGTACCATCATCCAAAAATAGCCTTTCCACCTGACGTTGCTTTATTTTTTCAAAAGGTAAAAATAATTCACAGTGGCACCTAGTTGTTTGAGGCACTCAAGTAAACCTGGCTAGGAGAAGCTGGGTAAGAAAGGTAGGCTCTTAAGCAGGTAATTCATAGCAGGAAGCGTAATATAATTTAGGTAAAAGGCTTTGGATAAATATGATTGTATTGTCTATGTCCCTTTATCCACTCTGTGTATCAGAATAAAAGGTGAGACCAAGCTTCAAAGTTCAGAACCAGCTCCAAACTCCTAATGGCTTGGCAATGTTTTGATCTGGGATTTTGGGTTGAGATCATTTCTCACAGGATCATATCAAAGCTCTATTTAATTGTTTAGTGACAGTGTGAATAGTACCCTCTTCCTTTCATTAGATTTCCCAGGTAGAATAATGTTGGCCACCTAAACTGTTTCCTGTTCCCTTGTCCAGTCTGTCCAAGAGTTGATTTCTGATCTCACAGCTACTGGTTCTTCCTTGTGTTCCTTTGTTAGATCAATGGCAGGGACCTGAAGGACTTGCAGCACCAGGAGGCTGTGGACTTTTTCAGGAATGCAGGCAATGACGTGTCTCTGAAAGTTCAGCACAGGGTATGTATAACAAGCTTCAAAGGGGTGACCTGAATTCTTATGTATCCCTCCTTCCTCTTTCCTCTGTGGAAGAAAGAACAGAATTCCCAGGGATTCAATGTGAACAATGTGTGCAGGGTTTCCTTGGTTTGGGTTTTCTTATGTTTATGAATGGCCCCTTCTAGGAGGCCCTCACCAAGTAACCAAGCACCAGCAGTATCTCTATATAATATTACTATTTTCTAGTAGCACTTGGGATGGGAGAGAGAGGGTTTGGAGTCCGTCTTCACCCTTTTCTGTTGTGTAAGAGACGCACTATTTCACGGTGTGGGCAGATGAAATCCCAAGTCCCCTCCTACACCTAAATCTCCAGTTTTATGTTGTTGCTGGGTAGAAGAAAGCAAGATGTTTAGAGAAGTGGTTGACACCGTACATGTCAGTCTTGGCTAGGAGGCTAAAGACTGATGGGACCCTAGAAGAGAACACTTACAGGCCATCCCTTCATCTTAGGGGTGAGGCACATTTGCAAGGCAGTGTGGAGGAAGCTTACAGTGCTGGTATTTTTATACCCTTGGTCTGGAGGTAAAGGGAAGGTATCTAGAAGCCACTGCTGTTAGTGTGGCCCTTCTCACAGTCCTAGAATTCATAATAGAAATGCCAACCCAACCTGAACCAGTGCTGGGGAAAGTCTTTGAAGAAATATGTGGATAGGTCATGCCGAGATCCCCTCACCCTGTGCAAATATAAAAGGGGAATCCAACATAGGCCTCTTCCTGGCAAATGAACATGTTGGAGATAATGTATTGATGCCTAGAGAGGGAGTGTTTAATGCACTTTTCCTAATCTGTGTATCACTACGCTCTGCTGCATGGGATTTAACCTGCTCCAGCTGTCCTCTCTGCATAGTCCCTTGCTTATGCAGGGATATAAAAGCATTTAATGCTGCTTGTAGTTAATGGAAGGTTTCCTTTGGCACAAGCTGTAGTGGTGCCTTTTGAAGCAGAGTTCCATGTTCTGGACCTCCTGTGCCTCAGATGTACAATACAAGTGGATGGCATGTTGTACATGCTTACAGAAGCACTTATTCATTATCACATAGTATTGCTGTCTCTCCTGGAGTGAGGGACATCTCTCTAACACTGGTACTTTTTTCTCCATTATAGCTGCAGCCACAGAATGGCTCAGTGGGTCATAGAGGAGATGGAGAGCCAGGTGGTATTCCCTTAGCTGCCATTTTGGTGCCAGGTTTGGCACTAGCAGTGGCTGCAGCGTGGCTCTTCCTCAGATATCGACAGCGGATGTGAAAAGTTCACCCTCCAAAGATCTCTGCATATTTTCCACATCTATGATATAATTTAAAGAACAAGAATCAACTGTTTTTTTCCTGGACTGACATCGGAAAGGGTTATTGCCTATCATAAAGTTGCTGCTGATGTTCACTATGTTTTTTTTTTCTTGTGGGATAGATAGAGTAGGATGAAAGTAAGAGATGAGTAGCATGATTGTGTGTAAAGTGGGATGTGCCATTTCTCCCTAATCCCATGGAAGTGTTGCGACCCCCTTTCTTTTGCACCCTGAATGTTCAAATACTTTCACTTATTCCCTATTTTAATATGTGACTTCTAGGTGGGGAGGGTTGGTAGGGCTGGGGTGTGTTTTTTAAAACAAAACTTTTATTTTAGAGTTCTTCTTGTTCTTTAAATTTTACAGCCAACAGTCCCTGTCCCTGCATCAAGGATGAAGAGAAACAATATGCAGGCTGTCTTGTTTTATTCCTTCCTTTTTAGGGGAGGGGGCGGGAGGTGGGCTTGCTAACTAAATGCCTTAGAGAAATATGTACAGTCTTACCTGTGAATTCACAGCTAAAGTTCTCAGTGCAGTTGCTAGTTAAAGCAAATATGCAATGTGCATGTGTGTTATACTGGCCCAGGAAAGGCAGGAGGTAGTATGGCAGGGTAGGAGAAGAGGAGAGCAACTGAGAGAGCTCCAGAGAGAAAAGCCAAAGAATTGCAAAAGGAGACTTTCTGCCAAGTCCTAGCATACTGGAAGAAGAGAGACTCCCAATGGGATCACAGATCTAATCAATGGGAAGTGATGTCATGAAATAGAAGCTGCATGGGTTTCTAAAGCAGAGGTTAAGCAACAGCATGTTATTCCACAGAGCTACCTGAAGCACTTATCTTCCATGTTAAACAGAGAGAGGTTGTGTGCGTGGTTTGTGCCTGAAGGAAGTGTCATATTACATAGTATCTTTCTGTAATAGCAGCTGGTTTGCTGTCTTCAGAATTCCTTCAAAGACTTTAAAATGAAGTCAAAGACTTTATAGAGGGAAGTCATCCATAATATTGGTCCATACAGGCTACTGCTTGTTTGAAGAGGCTGTGATAAGGCTTCTGGGAGTGGAAAAGGAAGATGTACAATCATGACAGATATTCTGTTAGTACACTAAATGTTTTTAAGGGAGAGCTGACAGATTTAGGAACAACAACACATTTGCAAGAAGCACCCCATTACTTTCCATAAAAAAAGAATACTGAAACTTGGATGGGTGTTTAACAGGCTACTACTTTTATCATAATCTTAAGGGAGTGAGGGAACAAGGGCAACACCATTATTTCAACACAGAGTAAAGCTGGATTGTACTTATAGGAGCCAGGCAGAGGAGAATAGGCAGAGATGTGTCAGTGTCCCAAGGTGCTTTGATTCTTTTGGATGGGCTGTAGGACAAAGCACATCTAGATGCTGGGTGGAATCTCTCAAACACACTTCTTGAGACGTGGTACCTGGAAGAAGAGCATGAACCAGAGTCAGATGATGAGAGAATTTAGTAAATAAGACTGAAGGGAGAGACCATCTCTGTGGGAAGGGTGGAACTGACTTTCATCTGCAGGACTTTAACTCCTCACTATGATTGTTCTGTTTGAAATCTTCCTGCTGACCTGAATTCATTGGAGTGAAGCCTGTTTCTCTTATATCCAAGGAAGAACATTGTTTAGTACTTGTAAAAGAGAAGTGATATGTGTCTGGTCTATATGATGCCAAAAAAATCAGATGCAATATATATTATGTAATATTATAAAAGCCTTAGTCTGTCTGTCTGTCTGTCCATAACACCTTATTCGCATTCTGACAGGCTGGCAAACAGGCAATCGGAGCGCTCCAAAAGTGTTCGGCCAGAAGATGGTGCAGCGGAGTGCCGCCATGACAGTGGGGACACGGGGGCTGGCCTCGGCCCCCCCGTTCCCTGCAGGCAGCAGTGACAGAGGAGGGTGGGGAGAGCAGGCCCAGCCCTGAAGTGGTAGGGGAGGGGGCGGGATTGGCCTGGGCCTCGGCCCCGGCCCTGGTCCCAGCCCCGAGGCAGTGGGTGGGGAGGATGTGGGGACCCGGCATGCCTGACCAGACAAGAAGCGCGGAGGGAGGGACAGAGCCGACAGGCCCCAACACAAGCCAATGGGGAGTGGGGGGGGCACAGTGGTGGTGCTCCACTGCTACTGCACCCCGACAACTGCCCCAAAGGTGGGCGGGGCAGTGAGGGGAGGGGGAGCAGACCCTTTCGCCCCCTCCCCAACCAGACAAGAAGTGGGGGCAGGGCTAGATGTGGGACTCTGTGCCTGCCCACCATGGGGAACGCAGTGCTCCTGCCCCGCACCACCAAAAGTCCCCAAGGAGTGGCAGAGGGCATGGTGATGGCACCCTGCCACCACCACTGGGCCCTGCCAACAGCTGGGAGGGAGGGGGAGGGGAGGAAGGGGGATGCGGATGCAGA